ATCATGAGATGAGGGAAGTGATTATTGGTGAGTCGCCGAAGACCGTGAGAAGTTTTGCACGTAAAGGCCAACGTGGCTCCGTGACTGGGGGGGGGGAAATTTGAAAGTTTTTTTTTTTTTTTTTTTTTTTTTTGAATCGGGTGAAATTTTATTCATTGATGTAAAGTTAACATTGACTTTTTTGTATCTAAACTTCAGAACGCTTCTTGGTACTTCTGAGTTTTCATTCTCCCTGGGTGAATTTATGATTGTCTGACCACCAAGAAATTATTTTGAATACAAACCACTGACGTGCTTGCATTACTTAACTTTTATTTTGAAGGTCGCCAATGCCTCTCGAGAGTATGAACAATCTCTGTGGCGGCTAGCTTGACTTCAACTCTGCGAGTGGAGGGTCCGAGGTTGGCCTGTCCGCAGCATGAAATCAACCCCCTCCCAGAAAAAAAAAAGAAAATTTCCAAAACGTAAAAACGTAGTATTCATGGTGTGTGTCCTGCGTCGAGGTTAAGGCGCATTTGGCTGTAATTCAAGAAAAAAGTTCGGTTACTTTTCATTTTAATAATTTTTTTGAACGAGGAAGCCATGTTGTCGTTGGCGTGCGGGGGTGCAGCGTCAGCTCGAGAACAACGCTGTACGGCAAAACCTTTGGGACAAATTTAGAGGCAACAAGAGGTTCGACTAGTCAATCATAATATTGGAAGAATTTACCCGTTTTTGAATAGTCAAGCATGATTCTGATTTTAGTTTTCTATGGCCCTTGTCTAATTGCAAAGTTTTTTTATCCGAATATTTTGTGGAACAATTGATAACTCAAATGTGTTCAAGAGCTCTGTGGCATAAGTGTCAAACTCCGGTCCTGGAGGGCTGCTATCCTGCATGTTTTCCAAGTCTCCCTGTTGCAACACACCTGATTCAAATGACCAGATCATCAGCAAGCTCTGCGGAAGCCTGACATCGAACCTGTTCATTTGGATCAGGTGTGTTGCAACAGGGAGACTTGGAAAACATGCAGGATAGCAGTCCTCCAGGACCGGAGTTTGACACTTATGCCACAGAGCTCTTGAACACATTTGAGTTATCAATTGTTCCACAAAATATTCGGATAAAAAAACTTTGCAATTAGACAAGGGCCATAGAAAACTAAAATCAGAATCATGCTTGACTATTCAAAAACGGGTAAATTCTTCCAATATTATGATTGACTAGTCGAACCTCTTGTTGCCTCTAAATTTGTCCCAAAGGTTTTGCCGTACAGCGTTGTTCTCGAGCTGACGCTGCACCCCCGCACGCCAACGACAACATGGCTTCTTCGTTTCAAAAAATTATTAAAATGAAAAGTAACCGAACTTTTTTCTTGAATTACAGCCAAATGCGCCTTAACCTCGACGCAGGACACACACCATGAATACTACGTTTTTACTTTTTGGAAATTTTCTTTTTTTTTTTCTGGGAGGGGGTTGATTTCATGCTGCGGACAGGCCAACCTCGGACCCTCCACTCGCAGAGTTGAAGACAAGCTAGCCGCCACAGCGATTGTTCCTACTCTCGAGAGGCATTGGCGACCTTCAAAATAAAAGTTAAGTAATGCAAGCACGTCAGTGGTTTGTATTCAAAATAATTTCTTGGTGGTCAGACAATCATAAATTCACCCAGGGAGAATGAAAACTCAGAAGTACCAAGAAGCGTTCTGAAGTTTAGATACAAAAAAGTCAATGTTAACTTTACATCAATGAATAAAATTTCACCCGATTCAAAAAAAAATAATTAAAAAATAAATTTCAGTTGTCCGAAACCCAGACCAAGTGTAGGGCAAACGAGACCACCCCAGGTAGCCAACCAGACGACTTTAATTCAGAGCTGATGTTTCCTTTCAAAGTATAAGGCCTCTGAAATCTGACATGTTGACCTTTTCGCCTGATTTAAAAAAACAAAAAAATCAATACAGTATTAGTTTTCGCTGAACCAGACCAGTTCTCGGGATACTGGGCCATCCAGGTATCCAACCACACCACTTGTTGCACAACATCAGCTGAGCAATGCTGTCTTGTGTGGTGCGTGAGGGGAGGTCAAGTTAGAGAGAGTGAGTGAGAGGAAACAAAAGCTGCCAGGTCTGATCAAAGGATATTCCGGAAAGAATGAAGCCAACATAACAACTCAAAATTTACTCTTTTTCCCCCCGAAGACACGGAACAATTCACATAAAAATACAGTACACGATACTAATGCTGTACTCTATTGTTGTGAACATACTTGCGCGTTCAAATCTGAATGAAAGTAGTCTGGCTGGATACTTGGCGTGGACTTGTGTGCCCAAGACCAGGTCTGATTTTGGGATAACTAACAGCTGTCATTCTTGTCATTGTGGATTATCTTCCCTTAGGTATTCTTTTCCTCATGGCTCTGTGCCAACCCATCTCTTTTTAATAAAATTCATCGACGTGCCCTTAGGTATTCTTTTCCTCATGGCTCTGTGCCAAGCCATCTCTTTAGTATTTGGTCCGACAGGGAAACCCATTGTGTGCGTGTGTGTGCGTGTGTGTGTGTGTGTGTGTGTGTGTGTGTGCGTGTGTGTGTGCACCACGAGTGCATAGGCATCTTGTGATATGTGTGTGTGCGCGCACCACAAGTGCATAGGCATCTTGTGAAATGTATCTGTGTACGTTTGGGGGGGGGCTTTTTATGTTGGAATTTTGATGTTTTATTTGCACAGCTTCAATCCTTTCATTCATTTTCCGATCCGCTTCATTCATGAATGAATGAATGGATGAATGAGCTTTCACCCCCGTTCCTGCCTCACTGTGTGGAGTTTGCATGTTCTCCCCAGGCTTGCGTGGGTTTTCTTCGGGTACTCCGGTTTACTCCCACATTCCAAAAACATGCATGGCAGGCTGATTGAAGACTCCAAATTGTCCCGAGGAGTGAGTGTGAGCAGGATTGGTTGTTCGTCTCTGTGTGCCCTGCGACTGGCTGGCAACTGGTTTAGGGTGTCCCCTGCCTACTGCCCAAAGACGACTGGGATAGGCTCCAGCACCCCCACAACCCTTTTGAGGATAAAGCGAATCGGAAAATGAATGAATGAATAATTGCACAGCAATTTTGAGTTGCACTTTTTTCGATGAAAAATGCTATGTCAATGAGGTTTGGTTGATTGATTTATCTGGCTCTTCTCATCACCTTCATGGTAAATATACACTGTAATTCCACACGTTTGTCTTCTTGTTTCTTTCAGACATCAGCGAAGATGTTTGTCCCGACCGGCTGGGTGCAGAGCCCTCTGATATTAAAGAGGAAGAGGAGAAAAAAAGAGGTCTCCTACTTTAAAGAGGAAGAGGAGCAGCAGGCCCCTGACATTAAAAAAAAGGAGGAGCAAGAGCACCCTTGCATGAAAGTTCGTGACAACACATCATCAAGCATTGATGATGATGATGAGTTGGAGGAGAAGGATGAAGAATCTGATGGTGATCTGACATGTCACACTGACAATAAACCCTGGAACTGTTCTCGGTGTGGGAAGACGTTTCCTTGGAGGAGTTTTTTTGAAAAGACATATGAGAACTCACACTGGTGAGAATCCTTTTTCTTGTTCAATTTGTGGCCTAAGATTCTCTCTGAAGGCAAGCGTAAAAACACACACGAGAATACACACATTTGAGAAACCTTTTGCCTGTTCATTGTGTGATCAAAGCTTCTCCCGGAAGGAAACATTAAAAAGTCATACAAGAACCTACACGGGTGCGAAACCTTTTGCCTGCACAGTTTGTGGACAAAGATTCTCTGAAAAGGGATCCTTAAATGGTCATAAAAGAATTCACACTGGTGAGAAACCTTTTGCATGCACCCACTGTGGGCAAAGATTCTCTATGAAGCGAAGCGTAGAAATACACACAAAAACACACACTGGTGAGAAACCTTTTGCCTGCACATATTGTGGACAAAGATTCTCTCAAAAGGGAAACTTAACTGTTCATAAAAGAATACACACTGGTGAGAAACCTTTTGCATGCACCGACTGTGGCCAAAGATTTTCTCATAAGGGAAACTTAA